GCTCATATATATAATATAATATATTAATTTTTGATAAAATAAAGTTTACACCATGCGTGTTTACCTTTTGTACTTTTCTATTTATTGTATATGTTGATAAAAAAATCAAAATAGTAAAAATTGTAAGATTGTATATATTGATTTAAAAAAATCAAAATAGGAAAGATTAGAAGATTTATATGTTCTATTTATAATTTTTATTATAAAATATAAATAAATTATCATCTAAAAATTTATATCACATATTAAAAACATTTATATCATAAATAAATCAAACTTAATTTTTATAAAATTTAACATGTTTATTTTTATATTTTTATTAGTGTTAAATTATTATTAAATATGCCTTTAAGATTGTAGTTCTAATCAAACATTTGAAAAATTGTCTATGACAGATAAATATGTTGTATTTAGAACATGTATTTTTAAAGAAAGTTAGGTTTAAATTTACTAAATTATAATATAACATAGTCTGACATAGTTTATTTTCATCCTTAATCATAATTATAGATATCAAAATTTGTAAAAAAAAAATAATTATAATATATATTTTTACTTTTAAAAGTTATATGTAAAATTTTTAATACTATAAATATATAAATAAGTATTACCCCCACTATCTAAAATTTCTGAATCCATCACTGTCATGCATCATATGTATATGTATTTTTGTGATAGGTACGATGCAGAGTACACTGCCATGGAATTCCCCCTTGTGTAAAAACTTGGGGATTAGTCCTTGCAAATAGCTTAGTTTGAGAAGCCATAGTCTCACCCATTGTGTGCATGAGACGTATCTTGTGTAGTTCAATATCTCGACGAATCCCTTTTCTTTTGTGGATGTTTTATATGTGTTTATAGGAGGCTTCCTTTTTGGAGGAGTCTAGTTGATTGAATGGGTAACTCTGATACATGTTATACTAGTGATCTTGGAATATGTTTTATGTTTTAGGGATTAATCTTTTTATCTTTAGACATATTCTCTTTAAATTTGTAGTAGCTAGGTGTTTAGTTTTTGAATTTTGAATGTGATACTCTTTACCTTTATTTAAAGTTATTCAAGTATAATATTTCCTTTTAATAATCATTATATTTATTTAATTATGCATGCAGGGTAGGGAGTGTCATAAAAGGATGGATGTTGGGATTTTGGGATTTTTGGTGTTCTTGATGTGTTGTTGATTTGCACATTGCTGACTTGAATTGTCATTTTTGAGATGATTGTTGAAATTATGAAGTTGGGGTTTCTAGGAAAAATGAACCCAAAACCTAAAGTTTTTTTTATCTCTCATTGTTAAGGTATGCATCTTGCATTTGAATTGGTTTTCATGTTGAATATGTTGTTTAACCTCAATTAATGGGGTGTTAAATGGTTTTCTTTGTTTCAAGAATGAAGATCATTTTGCATTAAATAAATATATAAAAGAAGTGCAAGATTAGAATGTCCCTAAAACAATTTATATTTATATTTAATTGAATTTAATTAAAATGCACTTGTCCATTCCATTTTATTTAATGTTTAAGATTTTATCACAATTTTTTTTACACAAAAAAATATTTTGAAAAATATAATTAATATATATAATTTAATTAAAGAAATTATATAACTTCTAAATTTCCTCTTAAACTTTTGGATTCCCATCCCACCAATAGAATAAACATTAAAAATAAAAACAACAAATTAATTAAATAATATATTAATAAAAATTGAAGGTATAAAAAAATATTTAATTTTACATTAATACTATAAAATAACAAAAATTGAAATATATTAAAATTATTGAAACATTAAATAGAATGGGATGGAGGGAGTAACATGTTTTTTTAACATTATACTGTGTATGTTTTTTATTTTATTTTATAATAATCAACTCATATTTATTAATTATGAACAACTATTTTCTGTGAGAATATTTTTAGAGATTATTTTTTGATAGGAGTATTTTTAGAAGTTCTCTTAATTTCTATTTTAATTTATCATATTTATTTATAAATTAAATTTTAATTTTTTAAAATAAATTATTTATAATTAAAAATAATCTTGTTTCATAATATAAATTATTTATGTAAAATATAAAATATAATATTAGTGTTTAAAATATCTATTTATACATATTTTAAATATAATTTATATATTTAATATAGTATTTATTTGTAGATATAAATTATTATAAATTTTAGTTTTATATCATTTAATCAATATAAAATACCAATTCTTCTTTTAAAATTTGTAATAATTTCTTACTGGTTGATTAAGATTGTATGGAAATTAAACTGTATTTTATCCAGAAACGCTAATAACACTTTTGTCAACACAGTTTTTATAACACATTTTTAATTTTTGTTAAATTTTATTCAAAATTACAAAATTATAGAAATATTAATTATTATTTAGTAAATTTTACTTATAAGCTAAATTTATTTCAATTATAAGAATAGCATTCTTTATTTCAATATTGACATAAAAGTATTTTTAATCTCTTGTGAATGAATTAAATTTATATTTTTTCTCTCAAATTAATTAAAATTATATTTTAGTGTCATGATTTGAAAAAAAAATTCACTCTTTTCACTTAAATATAAATGAATATATTTAACAAAATTTATCCAGATTGTTAGCAAAAAATAAAAATTCTCGATAAACTTAAATTCCTTCACAACTAACTTAAATTGTCTCTATTAATAATTTTGAGAGTCTAAAATAAACTTATTTTAAATTATAAGAACTAAGAAGTTCATTTTAAATTTGAAAAAAATAAAAACAATATTATTCCAAATTTAATTCATGAAAAAACATACTTAAGCTTCCATTATTTGTCTAATGACATGTTGGGTTATCATTCATGTTTGTAAAAGTGTGCTTAGTTCCATCCCACAATATGCTTTTCAGTTTTTCACGTTCACAAATCACAACCCTTTCTTTCTCTCTCTCTCTCTCTGTCACTGTCCCTCTCACATTCACATCGAGTTTGACCTATTGCCACCCACCGGCTCTTCTTTTATCTCTTCTATTCCAATGGCGACCCCACCCTTCTCCTCTCTCTGCTCTCGGATCTTCATCTTCTAAACCCCTCTTTTTTTTCTTCTTCTTTTTTTTCCTCACCACAAACAACTTAAACAACCTTTTTTCTCTCCATTCATTTCCTTCTTTTTCTTCCTTCCCTCTCAAACCCTAAATCACTCCCCCACCCACTTATATATATATACATATATGCATCATAATTAACATCTTTCCTTTTTACCTTTTTCCAGAAGCCCCTTTCCCAATTGGATTTCGATCGTGAAAACCAACACTCTTTTCTAACTAGTTACTATTTCAATTCCCTTCCTTCTACTATCCATACCACCTTATTTCCTTTTTTACTTAAGCAATGGATTCTGGAAACAGTGGAAGCATCTCCTCCAGCGATGAAGAATACGATTCATCACAGGCTGATCCATCGTTCCTCAACCATTTCGGCTCCATCTCCCACCCCCAACCATTACCAACCCTCGTTCCTTCCCACCCCTCAATGTTTGATCTTTCCTCAACCTACCTCCATCATCATTCCTTGCTAAACTTGGACTCTCAAGGCCCAAGATCTGAAGTACCCAATTGCACCAACCCTCAAGCCCTACTACCATCCGCAACACCAACACACGACAACATTAATGCTATACACCAACTTTCATCACCGCCAAACAACAACAACCTCGTACGCAACACAAAGAAACGAAGCAGGGCTTCAAGGAGAGCACCCACCACCGTTCTCACCACCGACACCACCAATTTCAGATCCATGGTTCAAGAGTTCACCGGAATCCCTGCGCCTCCCTTCTCACCCTCCTTCTCTCGCCGCCTACCTCTTCGCCCAAACCCTTTCCTTTCAACTCCCTCAAGAACCTTGTTACACAACAACAATAACAACACCATCAACGTTTCTCTTTCTCCTAATAATAATAATTCTTCCATTAACTACCAACTACTTCCTGATCTATCTTTACCCTATCATCAGCCCCCACAGAATAATTTCATGCAGAATCACCCTATCGGTATTCCAGCGTTTCACCCCTCTCCTCCTCTTCACTCTCTTGTCCCTGCAGGGTTTGGTGATTTGAACCAAAGCCAAGTGAGTGCGCACGTGGTGGGTGCTAACGAACACGTGGGTTCTGAGGGCATGCTTCTGAGGAGTGGCGGTGATGACGGAGGAGGGAGAAGAGACCCGTATAATTATGGTAGCTGTAAGCTAAACATCTCGGTTTCTGCGTTGAGCAGCTTGAACAATGAGAAGAACAACGTTAACTTGGAGAATGGTAATTCCCCTAGGGAAGGTGCCGTGGAGGCGTGGATTTGTTCTTCTCATCAATAGGGTTCGTCGCGTGTCAGAGACTAAACAGTATAGTACTCAACTTCTGAATCATTGCGAGGTTGAATTTCATATACTGCAATGAATTAAGAGCTAGCGTCATCATCATGATGTTGATCATAGTGGTCTAGTTTTGGTGGTTAGCATTTGCAGCTATCATTTTTTTTTTCTTTTCATTTGTTTTTAATTTTAAAATTTTTATAATGTTAAAATTATAAGCAGCAAGAGTGAAATTTATTTAATTATATAGTGTATACTCCTTTAATTTGTACTTGATCTTGATGATCATATATTCATATTATCTTCCTTTCTTTTTCCTTCTTTAGTGATGGGATCTAAATTTAATATTATTACAGGAATATTAGCTCCCCACACCATCTTACGCATTATTAGATCTGGTTACTTAATAATTAATGCATCAATACTAAAAGTAATAATTATATATATAATGATAATCTTTTTAAAATAATAATAATAATTTTATTATTATTATTATTATTATTATATTATTATTATTATTATTATTATTATTGTTATTATTATTATTATTTTGGTGAAACACTTTAGGGAACTATTTTTTCCATTAAGTTTTATTTGGGGGAGGGAAAGAATCGAAAGGAATAGAAGAGAATAATCTCTCCCTTTCTTTTTTATTCTACATGGATTCCACCAAAATATCCTCTCAAATTTACTTAAATCATTTCCTTCAAATACATTTTTGTAATTCTTCAATAATCTCTTCCTTTCTTCTTTATACTCTACTAAATAACCTCTCTCAAAACACACCATTAGTGTTACAAGGGCACTCACAACTCAAATTTTAATGATGATATATGTACATACGTATGTGTGTGATAATTAAGACGATATGTCAAAAAAAAAAAAGTTACTATCATGTGAGGTAGAGTTCAATTGTTGCTTTGTTCACTATTTATTAGAATTCGACATATTAGTTTGATACTCAAAATTAAGTTAGTTTAATTGGAGAAACTTGTCGAAGTATTGTAAGGATTACTTGTATGATCAACGTGATAGACATTAATTTAAAGCGTAATTTTGAGTCTCATAAATTAAAAATAAAAATAATTAAAAATAATATTATGAAAATGATCAATTAGATTTTTTTTTTTGACAAAGATGAATGATCAATAAAATTAATGGATATTCCACCTCAATAGCATGATGACAAAAAAATATTTATAATTATTTTTTAGCTATCTTTCTTGTAATGCATCTTGACATTATTCTATCAACGAATGAATTGTGTGTAAAAACATGCTAAGGTATGTATTAGTAAGTTTTCGTGCATTACATGAATATTTTAAAATTTAAATAAAAATTATTAATAAAAAAATTAAAGAGAATAATATATATTTTTATTATTCTTTTGGTAGAAGATTTATTATTAATAATAGTTATTCTATTAGTTTAAATAGAAATAAATTAAAGATATACAATTTTAAATTTGAAAAATTTAATAATAAAAATGAATTATAAACCTAGAATTAATTTCTCAACGTAAAATTAAACATAAAAATATTTACTTAAAACCACGTTAACTAATACTTTAACATAATTCTAAATGAATCAATATAAATCTAAACACATACGTAACTAATCCCAAACATTATATCAAAGGAAGGAGAGTGAGAAAACCAATGATTTTAATCAGTGTCGAGAACATACTTTATACTGCACTTTTTAAGAATATTCTATATTTGTTATTGTTCAAAATTTATTGAAAATAATAAAATTGTGCAGGTTTAATTTTTATTTATTTAATAATCTTTGTTTATGATTTAATGAATTATAATTAATAGTGGAGAATGTATTAAAAGAATATATTATAGAGAATTGATTGTTTTGTGTAGTATGTTGGTAGCTGGAAAAGCTATTTTTGAGGCGGCAGCAGCAGCTTGCAAATATGGCCGCTACCTAGTTCGTCTTTGTGGTCCAAATCACTGCCTTAGAATTTTGACTTCTTTTTATGACATAGGGAAGCCATTAGCAAAAAAAAAAAGAAGGTACAAATGAATGTTCATCTTTTTCTGTTTCTATTTCACTTCAGTTGCCTTGAGTATGACCTCGTACCGACGTACTCTACGTATTGATAATCAAGCAATAGTTTTTAATTCCAGAAATGAATGTCTTAATTTTATGTACCTTAATCAGAATACACAAACATCATTTATTATGCTCGACAGTCGTGACCTTATTTTATTGTTTTTGGCTTATATTTGTCAACTTCCTTTCACGAGAGTAATAGAAAGACTAGAAAGAAAAAGTTTTTTTTTTCCCCTTAATGAAAGAATGTTGAAACTTGTAGTATAAAATATTATCTATACAAAATGTAGGGGCTTATTAAATATTATCTTAGATTATAGGTGTCTAGAGTTTGTTTTAAATATTCATTATTATTATTTACCTAAAAATTCATTATTATTAATTATTATTCACTCATATTCATGTTTTAATTTTGTTTTTAATTATTGATTTTTATAAACTAAAATCATTTTTTCACATAAATCCTTCTTTAAACAATAATAATTCATCACAAGTTAACTGTTATATATATA